TGCTCCCTGCTGGGGTGCAGCTCTCAGGTGGAGAGGTGCTGGGTGCTAATCCCAGGGCAGTGACTCCACTGCAGCAGTTTCTAGAAAGGGGGAGAATCTGCTCTCTCTCTCTGCACAGACAGTGATTTAAAGACTTCAGAAGATGTTGGCTCTAATTAACGTGTTGAAGGCAGCACTTCAGCACCTCCCAAATTGGTCAAGACAGGTTCTACTGAGTCCTTAATTTGATCTTCCTGGTGTGTGTTAAAAGCAGTCACACCTTGATCACACCAGACTCTCCTGGCACATCTCCTCCAAAGGATTCCTTGAAAAAGGCTCATCTCTGTCACCCCAAAAAGCTGCTCTGTGCACTCAGGTGTGTGCTCACCTGTGAATTACAGCAGTCACCCACGGCTTGTGGCCCTGCTGGGTGCCAGGAGGGCACACCTGGTGTAATCTGCTTTTCGGTGGTCGCTGGTTTGCTCTTGGTGTAAGCTGGCTGCAGATTGCAGGCAGACACACTCCTGGGCAGCCAGCTCTTCTGTGCCCGTTTTTGGCACAGTGATTTGGCAGGGAAGGCAGGCAGGGGTGGGAAAAGGAGTTGGGACACAGCAAAGAATGAATCCAGTGTGAGCATCAGTTCAGCAGCTCCTGGTGCAGTGGGGTGCCCTGAGCAGCGGGCAGAGAGGGATAAAGGTTTTGGAAAAAAGGGGAACCTGCTGGGTGCTTTACAAGGCTGATCTCTTCCACACCAGTTACAGACTGGCAATAAATAACCTGTGAGGAGAGAGGAACAGACAAGGGAGAAAGGTGCATTTTTAATTGCAGTGTGCACAAACAATGGTTAATGCATTTGAGAGCTGCCCAAAGACTGGAGCTGCAAAGAAGGCAGCTCCTGCCTTGGGAAGGGGCCAGAGAACTCTTATTTCTTTGATACTTAAGGTTTATTCCATTGGTGATTTCTGTAAGGGATTTTTTTGCACCATGGAGGCATCATTTGAGAGTAACTGAACTAGTTTTCCAAAATCTTTGCAGAGAAGGGCAATCTCTTGCTGGGTTATGGGGACTGGACACTCAAGAGGGAAGTCACTAAAAAATTTGTCGTTGGTTTTAATGCAAATAGATTTGTGCCCTTATTATTTAGGAGAAAGGAGCAGCTGGTTTAGAATTGGAGTCCTTGCCTCCCAAAGCAAAGTTCCTCAGCTCCTTCCCAACAGCCATTTAATTCCTCCAGGGTTTTCTGAGTTCTGACCTACCCAGACTGGCTGTGGAGCTGCACAGGGCGCAGGCAGGGGAGGCATTCTGTGAAAACGGCTGGGTAAGGAGAGGGTTTCTCAAACCACTTGTGCCAGGCTGTTCTGGAGGCAGCCAGAACACCTCCAGCAGGGAGGGGAGCACTCATTTTCCAGCTCTGGCTGCTGTGTGAGCCCACAGCACCACGACACCTCCTCCAGCAAGGCAGGAGAAGCTCCGGGATCCGCGGCGCTCCATTCCCACTCCAACAAAGGCAGCGTTCTGCAGCAGCAGGATTAAAAGCCCAGCTTTCCTGGGAAAGCATTTTTTTCAGAGGCAAAGCCCTTTCCAGTGTCCTCCTGCCCAACCTCCCTCCCCTGAACAGCCACCTGTGCCCTCCCCGAGCGCTGGGCTGTCAGAACATCTCTGCTAATGAAGCAGTCTGGCCTCAGGCTGCTCTTACTGCAAGCCCATCCCCGACAGGAGCCGGAGCTGGGCTGCACCCGGCAAGCATCAGAGGACAAAAAGCAGGGAATCCTGCCCGTGGCACAGCCCTGCTGTCCCCGAGGCTGTGGGAGAGCCTGAGGGATGGGTCTGGCTGGCTCAGGAGGGGCTGCTGTGGCTCTCTGCTCCTGTCCTTTGCTAGGGAGAGGAGTGGTTTATGGATGGAATCTGTTTATGGATGGAATCTGTTTATGGATTGGTTTATGGGTGGATCCAGGAGCTCTGGATGGGATCTGTGCTGGATCCTCAGGAATAGGAGGTCTGGATGGGGATCTGTGCTGGATTCCTGCAGGGACAGGAGCTCTGGGTGGAATCTGTGCTGGATCCTGCAGGGACAGGAGCTCTAGACTGAATCTGTGCTGGATTCCTGCTGGATTCCTGCAGGGGCAGGAGCTCTGGATGGATTCCTGCAGGGAGAGGGGCTCTGGATGGATTCCTGCAGGGACAGGGGCTCTGGATCCCTTTCTGGGCTCAGGTTGCTCATCTGACAGGTAGCTGGGTTTCTCTCTCCTCCCAGCCCCAACCTGTCTTTCCTGTATCTGCAATGAGAACCTGCATCTGCAATCAACAGCTCAAAGGACCTTTGATGTGAGTTAGAAACTCAGAGGTTGCTGAAACACATGTAAATAAGTTACATTTAGGGAGTTTTCCCTTCTTTTATTGGTTGAATAGTGGAGGAATATCCAGGATAAGAAATTTGTCCCTGAAACTGGTGATAGGATGTGGAGGAAAATCTTTCTCTCTTAAACTTAAGAGCTGTAAAGCATTATCTCCACTTAGAAAACACTTTCTGGCACAGGTAACTCTTGGCAGTTGTTGACACATTTGACCTGAGAGAGAGCTTTTGTTTCAGTCTGAGGTGATGTATCCCAGAGGAGGGGAACTGAATGTTGAAAAATGATCACTATTTACTCTGTTTGCTGTGGCAGTGCCTCGGTGAGCAAATTAAGACTCATGCTTTCACTTTGCCGGGCGCCCTGGAAACACACAACAAAAAGCCACGGAGATTCCTGCCCCAGACTGGGAAACCTGTTCCAATGGCTCCGTGGGGAGTGTTCAGAGCACACCTGGCTCCCCCTCTCACCACATCTGCATGGATTTGCCTGGTGCTCTCTGATCTGCTCTCCAGTGGTGAATCTGTTTACACTAATCCCAAAAGCTCTGCTATTAAAGACTGGAGCTGAACAACTCCAGGCTCTGCTGCTGAGCTCAGCCAGAGCTCTCTCCTCACTGCAGGACTCCTCAGTGACTCCAGAAGAGGCTGCTGGCATCAGGCTCAGTCTGTGCCTCTTGCACCTCCCAAACTTCCCTGAGATCTGCCAGAGCATCGTCCCTGTGTGAGGAAGGTTCCTGCGGGTTGGAGGCCACTCCTGTCCTGCTCTGCTGTGACCTCTCCTGGAGGAAACATGAGGCCTTCCCTTGGAGAAGGCTGTGGCCAAGCTGTCCCTGCACGTGGAGGTGGAAGAGCAATAACCCTGATGGCTGTAAAGGAAGGAAGCTTTGAGAAAAAAAAAAAATCCCCACTCCCTTAAAAAAGTGAAAAGAAATCAGACCCGGGAAGCCAAGTTCCAAAGCAGATGGAGTCAAGGGAAGTCTGAAGAAGAACCCAAGGCTCTCCAGAGCCCAGAGCAGTTGGATGTGCCAGGAATGAAGGTTTTTGGGAGCTAAGAGTGACCCCTCTCACCACACAGCCCCTCTGCCCTCCATCCAGGATCCTCTGACTGCCACAGAGATGTCTGTGTCTCCCACAGCCTCTTCCAAGCATTTTCCTTGGATCATTAGGTGATAATAGAAAGTGATTTTTCCCCTGTCATCTTGAGCAATCAGAAGCATTAAGAATAAGAGCCTAAGCCTGAAAGCCTAAATGAGAGGGTTTGATGGGTCTGTGGATCTGCCTCCTTCATTAGAAGCAAAGATGGATCCCAGAGCTGGAGTTCCTTGAGAATAAAATGCCAAAAGAGAAGGACGATGGTCAGGTAGCTCAGAAACGACCCTGCCAGCTCTGCCAGTGGCTGTTGTCACACAGCAAAGCCACTTCTCACTCTCTGGAAGGCAAGGCCAATCTGCCCCCACTTCACCCTGCAAGAAGGCAAGTCAGGGGACACAGCCTGGGACAAAGCTGGGAGCTTTGTGTGGTTCTGGGAGCTCTGAGGCAGAGCTCACACAGAGCTCTCACTGTTCTGCCACCTGCTAGAGACTCGTGGGCCACATTTCTTGTCCCATGTTTAGGGGATAATTTATTTTTGTTCCCATCCTGGGTAGGATTCTTCCTGCCCAGTCGGCCCCACTTTGGCACCCAAAGGCAGGGAACTCCATCTTGTTGAGGTGACATTCCTGGAACAACCACACAACTTCATTTTGGGCCACCTCGTCCTCTCGGGGCAATTCCACATGGACCTCGTGCTGTGTCTGCCACAGCTTGTGACAGAAAACAAATTCACCCCATGTGTCCGTCTGTGTGTCCATCCCTCCACCCATGGATCCACCCATGGATCCACTCATCCGTCCATGGATCCATTCATCCATCATCCATGGATCCATCCATCCCTCTCTCCATGGATCCATCCATCATCCATCCATCCATCCATCCATCCATCCATCCATCCATCCATCCATCCCTCCATGGATCCATCCATCCATTCATCCCTCCATGGATCCATCCATGGATCCATCCATCCATCCATCCATCCATCATCCACCCATGGATCCATGGATCCCTCCCTCCATGGATCCCTCCATGGATCCATCCATCCCTCCATGGATCCATCCATCCATGGATCCATGGATCCATCCCTCCATGGATCCATCCCTCCATGGATCCATGGATCCATCTATCCATCCATCCATCCATCCATCCATCCATCCATCCATCATCCATCCATCCCTCCATGGATCCATCAATCCATCATCCATGATCCATCCGTGATTCATCCATCCATGGATCCATCAATGGATCCATCCATCCATCCATCCATCCATCCATCCATCCATCCATCCATCCATCCATCCATCCCTCCCTCCATCCCTCCCTCCCTCCCCGCTGGAGCCAGGTCCCACCTGCCGGGCACTGCCATCACGCCGCAGGGGGTGCAGAGGGGCGGCAGCAGCGGGGCTCGGCCGTGTCCCCGCGGGGCCGGGTCCCCCCGGTGTCCCCGGGCTGGCGGCAGCCGGCGCTGGCCCCGCCGTCCGTCGCTCACCCCCTCGCCGCCGCCGGCGCGGCGCTTCCCAGCGCCTCCGCTGTTTAAATGGGCCAAGTTAGAGAAGCGGCGGCGGCGGCGGCGGAGGGAAATCTTGTTTGCTCGGAGTCTCCGAACTGTGCGGTGACTTCTGAGCACCGATCAATACGTGTCTGTCCCGGCTCGGGGGCCCGGCCCAGCCCGGCGCGGCGCTCGGGGGCTGCGGGCGGCGGCGCGGGGAGCGCGCAGCTGGCGGGGATGGCACTGTAGATGTCCGTGTGTCTGTGCGTGTGTAGATGTGCTTATATTTATAGATTATATATATATATATACACAGAGGGATAAGGAGCGTAACACCGCGTTTCTTAAAATCTCCTGCGGGAGCGGGGATTAAAACCCAACTGGCGGGGATCATAAAGGCTTCGGGGGGAGCGGGGCGAGTCTGCAGCGCGCAGGTGAAGGTGGGCGGCCCCGGGGAAAGTTCGCCGCCGCCCGGGTGTCTGGAGCCCCGCGGGCAGAGCCGGCACCGGCCGGGGCTCCGTCCTCCCGGCGGGCGCCGGCGGGGCGGGGAGGGGTCGCGGAGCGGCGGCGGGGGCGCAGCGTTTAATTTTAATTATTGCATATAAATAAATAAACCAGGTGTCAGTTTAAAGGAAGCAGGGGGGCAGGGTGAAAGGGGGCTGGCTGGGCGGCGGGGAACCCTCCAGCCTAGCGAGAAGGTGGGTTGATCTAGGGGAATCAATAAGCTTTTTTTTTTTTTTTTTTTTTTCCTTAAACCAAAATAATGTCTACGGCAGCAGAGACCTCTCCGAGATGTCAGGTATTAGTCCGGAGGGGCAGATCTGCGAGCCACACAGCAGCTCCCGGGTCTACGGTACATTAGGCTCTCCGTGGGAGAGGGATCCCACACAGCTCTGCTGGGGAGCCAGCCCAGGAGATTTGTTCGCGGGCTGCTCCGGGGGATACCAGCCACCTCCGGCACCCGAGCGCCAAAGGTGCTTGTGCTGCTGCTGCTGCTGCTGCTGGCGCATTTCAGCCAAACTCCAGCCAGAGCGAGGGCAAGTTGAGCCGGAGACATTGGAGCCGCTGTGCTTTGGAGACGCCAGGGCGCACGGGGAGCGCGGCGGCACCATGCCTGCTATCAAGAAGGAGCGACTTGACAGAGAAGAGATGGCCCTGGCAGCTTTCAACCAGCCCATGGAAACCTTACCTGACTACCTCGCGCCTCTGGCCGCCGCTGCCATTCCGGTGGTCACCCCGCACCCGCCGGCTTACGAGCAGATCTTTGCCCACCGCGCGTACCTGGGCTTCCACGAGCCCCACCACCCCCACCCGCACCACCCCCACCACCTCCCCGAGGACCTGATGCTGGAGAGGTTTTCCTCCATCCCGGATTTCCAGCCCTTCTTTGACAACGGAGAGCCTTGCATCGAGGTGGAGTGCGGGGAGAACAAGGCGCTGCTCTACATCAATAAGTTGTGCCAAGGGAGCAAAGGACCCTCTATCCGGTACCGGGGAGAGTGGCTCACCCCCAACGAGTTCCAGTTCGTCAGCGGCAGAGAGACGGCCAAGGACTGGAAGCGCAGCATCAGGCACAAAGGTAAAGGCAGCGCTCGCCGGGTGCGGGGTCCCCGCTCCTCCTCACATCCTCCCCTCGCCCCCGTGCTCGGGCAGCGGCACCCGCGGCGAGCCCCGAGCCGAGCCCCCCCCCCCCNNNGGCAGCGCGGCCGGGCCAGGCACCGGCGGGGCGGCGGGCGGGGCGGAGGGGGTGTTCCCCTCGCAGCTGGGTGGTGCGGGACCTCCGCGGCGCCGGCGGCTGCTGACGGGCGCCTGCCCTGCCTCCCTCCCCTCCCCGCCCGAGCCGGCGCCGCAGTCGCGGCTCCGCGGCTCCGCTGCTGCTGCGGCTGCGGGCGGCAGGTGGAGAGCGGGGAGCGGCGCCGGGGGGAGCGGCGGGGGCGGGCGGGCACAGCCCGGGCGGCACGTAATGAGCTGAGAGCCGGAGGGGGCAGCCCGGGGGGCTGAGGAGCCATTAGGAGGTGACTGACACCTCGCCGGGGTTATTGATCGCCGCGGAGCGGGGGCAGCGCTTCGGGGCCGCGCTAATTGTCGCTGCCCGTTTCTTGTGTGGCCGCGCTCCTGCTGCCTTCGGGAAGCCTCAGTTGCTCTGGGGTGAGTCAGGAGGAGCGGGCGGAGGAGCAGCGGGAGGTGCCCGGGGCCGTGCCCGCTGCGGGGGATGCGGGAGCGCCTCCGGCTCGCCGGGGATGCGGCAGCGCCGACCCCGAGCTCGGCGGGGCTGCGGGGGCTGTGCCGGGACCCCCGGGGCCGTACCGGGCTCCCCTCCCTGGGACTCCCGGGGTCTGTGCCGGGCTCCCCTTCCCGGGTCCCCCGGGTGTTCTGCCGGGACCCGTGAGGGCCGTGCCGGGCTCCCCTTCCCGGGACCCCCGGAGGCTGTGCTGGGCTCCGCTCCCCGGGACCCCCGGGAACCCTGGGGTCTATGCCGGACTCCCCTTCCCGGGACTCCCGGGTGCTGTGCCGGGACTCCCGGGGTTGTGCCGGGCTCCGGGGGCTGTGTCGGGCTCCGCTCCCCGGGACCCCCGGGAACCCTGGGGTCTATGCCGGACTCCCCTTCCCGGGACCCCCGGGGCTGTGCCGGGCTCCGGGGGCTGTGTCGGGCTCCGCTCCCCGGGACCCCCAGGGGCTGTGTCGGGACTCGCGGGGGCCGTGCCGGACTCCCCTTCCCGGGACCCCCGGGGCTGTGCCGGGCTCCGGGGGCTGTGTCGGGCTCCGCTCCCCGGGACCCCCGGGGCACAAACTCGGCTGCAGCGGCAGGCGGGGATGGGTGCTGCTAGGCAGGCAAGGGGAGGGCTGTTTATATGGAAGCAGACGCGTGCCTCCCCCTCCCCCCTTCCCTAAATACTTTCCTTTTATAAACGTGCTGATTCTCTTTCTTCTTCTTCTGGTTTTTCTTCTCTTCTGCATATAGGGAAAAGTTTGAAGACTCTTATGTCCAAAGGAATCTTACAGGTACATCCTCCAATCTGTGATTGCCCTGGGTGTCGAATTTCGTCTCCAGTGGTAAGATTATTGTTAAACTATGTGCTTTAGTTAAGACATCTTCCCTCTCCTCTGCCTCCTTCCCTTAAAAAAAAAAAAAATAAATCCCTTTGCTTCGGTGCTGGTGGAACCGTGATGTGTGAGGGTCATGGAGGCTGCCAGAGCCCTGCCTGCACTGCGAGGGTTCCAGCAGTGTTGGAGGGGAGCTGGGAAGCAGAGCAGACGGGAAGAGCGGCGTCTGAGCTGAAGGAAGCAGCACTCGGTGGGATTTTTTGGTTTTCAGGGGGAGCTGTGTGTGCACGGAGGCAAATGATGGAGGAGCCTCTTCCGTGTTCCCACCCCTTGGTATCTGTGCGTTGTGCACAGGTGTGAAAACGGCTAAATAAAGCAAAAGGGAAATGTGATTGTGCCCGCGTGTTAGAGTCGGAGCAGGCACGGTGTACAAACCAGCTTAGGTGAACTGCATGAACTCAAATGCTGACAGCTTGAGCATCGTTCCTGGCATAGTTGTGGCTTTTGTAGATCTTTCCTAATTCACTTTTGGGTTCCTTGTGTATTCTTGCCTTCATCCTGAGACTTCCAAAATCTCTCATCAGCATTTTCGTGGAAAAGATGTTGATGCTATAAATAAAAAGGGACCGAAATCGTAGTAAAGTAAGGCCTCAAAACAGTTAATTGTGTGTAAAAATAACCATAAAGTACAATAACATCTAATTGGGAAGGCAGAGCTGTTGGTTTGGAGGAGTGAGGCAGCTCTTGGTCTGAAGGAACAATAATGACTTAGAACATTGCTAGTAGCACTGTGGAAGCAGATACAAGTGGAAATTCATGTGGTTTTATCCACTGGAAATGTCCCATTTTTGATTTTGTTGCTTGTTTGGGCTGGAGTGGACAGCCTGTGTTCAGATGCAGTGTCTCTGTGATTGGAAAGGACAGAGCTGGAGTTGCAGTCCTTCCTGCCTGGTGTCTCTGTGTCTTACAAACACGGGAAGGGGCTTGGAGCAATAACCAACAGCTCCAGAAATGAAGGGAGAGAGGTGTCCAGCCCCCCACCCCCAGCAATGCCTGCCATTTCACCCCAGGTCTGCTCAAACCTGGCTCTTCCCAGCTCCTGCACTCGGGGGATGTGTGATGTGCTGTGAGCAGCTTTCTCCACCGGGAGTTTGGTCTGTGTGGTCACTTGGGCAGCTCAGAGCCAAGAATCTGCCGTGCCAGGGATGTGCTGCTGTTGTGGGGATGCTGAGGAGTGCCTGGCCAGGTGATGCTGTGTGCTGGACGTGCTGTGTTGGGCTAGCAGTAGCCAAAAGGTCGTGGTGCACTTTGCTAGCCAGCAGCATTTTCAGGAGTTGTGCAGGGGTAGGTGCATTTCCAGATGGGAAACCAGCTCTGCCTGAAACCAGTGTGTGGCACAGCCTTTGAGAACTGCGTTTGGAAAGTGCAGATAGAGGGGGAAAAGAGGTTGGTGCAGTTTCAGGCAAGGAGAAATAAATATTTCTGGACTTGCCTCCCAGTGCTTCCCAGCTGGGAAAGGGGTTTTGGATGTCAGAATTTGCACAGCAAGGGCAGAGCCCAGTGAGGAGCTCTGTCAGAGCTGTTTCTCTGTGCTCCCTGCACTTTCTGTGCCGTACTTAGCTCATGTCCCTGACCAAAGCACAGTTCCACGTTTTGAACCTGAAGTCTTTTGGTAGCGCTTTGGTAGCTCCATCCCCTGCACATCCAGAGCAGTCACACAAGGAGGAGGATTAGGAACTGGGCATGGTTTATATTTCCCCATTTAGTGATTGCCCATTGGAGCACCGCTGAGATCCGAGGGCTGATTCTCCTGAGAAGTAGAAATTATTGACATTTTATAGTGCAGATGACAGAGACTTGCCATGCCTGTCCCGGTAGGGGTGTGGAGATGGGGAGCTGATCCTGTCTGCAGCTGCTTCCACCGCTCTGAAATCATTCCTGGGACAGCAGGAGAACTCCAGCAGTGCCTGTGAGGGGGCAAGGCAGCCCTTTGGGGTCTGCACCTCTGCCCCCTGCTCCCGCAGGCAGCAAAGGCAGCGCTGCGGGGCTGTCCCTGCGGGAGCGGTGCCACCCAGCGTGTGCCCTGTGTGTGTCCCCTGTGTGTGTCCCCTGTGCGTGCCCCCTGTGTGTGCCCCCTGTGCGTGTCCCCTGTGTGTGTCCCTAGCGTGTCCCCTGTGTGTGTCCCCTGTGTGTGTCCCCTGTGTGTGTCCCCTGTGTGTGTTCCCAGCGTGTCCCCTGTGTGTGCCCACTGTGCGTGTCCCCTGTGCGTGTCCCCTGTGGGTGTCCCCTGTGTGTGTCCCCTGTGTGTGTCTCCTGTGTGTGCCCCCTGTGTGTGTCCCCTGTGTGTGTTCCCAGCGTGTCCCCTGTGTGTGTCCCCTGTGTGTGTCCCCTGCCAGCCGCAGCAGCCCGGCGGCTCCGAGCCCCTGCCCGGGTCCCGCCCGCTCGGGGGCAGAGAGGAGGGGTCGGTCTGGAGAGGAAATCGCAGCGAGCCGCAGCCCCCGGGCTGGCAGCGCCCCCGGCCCGGGCTCAGCGCTCCCGGCTCCGAGCCGCGGCCCCCCCGGTTCCCCCCCGGTTCCCCCCCGGTT